TTCAAGCTCTCTAATAAATTTAGTGGAAAAAATACGTCACGTGACCTATGCAGCAATTCAGGTTCCCCTCTAAATTTAGCGGAAAAATTGATGTCATCTGACCTATGCACCGATTAAGTTCCCCTGCTAAATTTGGCGGAAAAATTGACTTCACTTGATCTGACGTCATGTGACCTACAAATTCAGCTTCCCCGCTAGATCTAGGGGAAAAATTGACGTCACAAGACCTATACACCAATTCAGTTTCCCCACCAAATTAGGCAGAAAAATTTATATTGCGTGCTCTGACGTCATGTGACCTACAGACAAAGTAAGGTTCCCTCTAAATTTAGCAGAAAGATTTATGTCACGTGACCTATGCACCATTTCAGCTTCCCCACCAAATTTGGCAGAAAAATTGATGTCGCGTGATCTGAAGTCATGTGGCCGATACACACATTCAGTTTAAAACAAAATGAACAAAATAAAAACTACCTTTTAAATAGTGCATTTCATGCGTTATAGCACTTTGAAGGTAAAAGCCACTTCCAATTTTAGATAATATTTATACCTTAAAGAAATAACTTTTTTCTAATTGTTTTGATTGAGCACTAGTGCCGTAAACTGCTAATAACAGCCTTGAAAAGTTAAAGGGACCATGAAATGATTTTAAAATCTAATTTCATCCACCGCACGTCGTAAAAGGTGTGAAAAGAAACACAAAAACACAAAACTAGGGAGCCAAAAAAAATTATTTGCTATAGAACTTTTAAAAGAAAACTGGACTCTTTTGCGACTTCTTTCCTTCGAAAGCTCTGCCTTTTCACTACGATGCATCCGCAGAAATGGAGCACGTCAGCCGAATCCACGTCGCCTATTGGGTAAGAGCCTACCTCACCAGCACCGCGATCGTAAACAATAAATAGCCGGCGAATGTTTCCTAAAAGTTTTGTTAAATAACATTCAGACCCACATTTTGCAGCATAATTAGAGATGTGTGGCGAAAATTGCCAAATTTGATAATGCTGAGAGCCAAGCGCCATCTATCGTGTGGTAAACGAAGCAACTACTGCGCGTGCGCAGTAGGGCAGGGCTGGCAGGGCCGACTTGAGAACGGTTATTTCCTTTGGTTTCCTTCCTCTCAAAACTCTGACTGACTGAACGTTTATTTTTCTACGTGTTCATCTCGCGCGTGCCGACTTCAAGCAGCAAGAAAAAAATGTACTTAAAACAGACCACGACGAACAAGAACGCTGGATCCACAAACACCCGAGAAGAGCGACAACAGCCGCGAATCGCGCTCCGACGAAGCTCTCGGAATATAGGCCTAGCAGGCACTCCGACTCGGCGCAGCGTTGCTTCGTCGCAAGACCGTCTGTCTGCCTGCGACCGGCTGGCGTGCTGAATGGAATATGCCCGCGCTACCCTTGTGGGTACCCTTGTGGACCCTTCCCGTATAATAGTTTGATCGCTGACCTCAATTTTACGTTAAGAGGTGAGGTCAATCTCTTCCCCTTGTTTTCCGAGGCAGTGTTGACGAACGCTCGTCGAAAAGGGACCCTCGTCGATTCTCTCTTCTTGTTTTGTGTGATATAGAGCTGAAATAAACGCTGTATGGATTACCTTCGTAACACGGTATGTACACTTTGTTATTGGTATGCCATTTTTATCCTGACAGACTGCACGTCACTGTCGAGCTGTAACAGTTCGTGAGAGGTATACGTGCCATACCGGTCCAACCTTTCTTTGCCGAGTGTCGCGTCAGTATCGAGTTGCAATCGTAAAAGATCGGTCCCGAAGCGCTTACCAACAGCGCGAATACAGCACTTCCATCAAACGCGCGCGTCCGCTCCGAGTGTTAACAGGTATTTACGTGGCTCTTGCTGACACTCGTAGTTCAAACGTATCTTTTTTAACGTCGGCTCGCTCCTGCATCTCCGAGACCGCGAAAAACGCCGCGGCAATTTGTTTTCATCTACGTCGCTTTGCAAACGACTGACACTGGCCGCCTTTTGCCAACAATGACAGTTGGGTTGACTTCTGGAGTCTTCACCGGAAGACTCGCTGCACTTCCCAACAGGCATACCGGTGTATTGGACTAGTGCCATGCTGTCGCTGTAGCGCAACATATCTCGTTGAATTTCGCTCAGCTGCGATGCGGCGATGAGAGGCGCCGATTCAGAAAATACATCGGTGACATCGGCGCAGTAAAACCTACCGGCGCACCCCAACTCGTCGTCGCTAATGCTCCCATCTCCTACTGCCGAGAGAAGTTCCGGCTCCGGAAATAGCGTACGTCACGGCTTGTTTTGCGGTCAAGAAAAAGTCGATATTTCATTAATTTTTTGTGTAGAAGTTAATAAACCGAGACGAAAACGGATGCCTGTTCGGCATTCAGTGAACATTGACGGTTTAATGTAAAAGTTATCTGGAAAAAGTAAAAAAGTCATTTCATGGTCCCTTTAAGTTTTGCACATCAGAAGGGTTGCGAATTTTTAACAATATCTGATTTTTGTAATAAATCAGTTCAAATTGAAATGGAACACCGGTAATTATACATATTTGGGAGTTATAGTAGACCGCGTTTCCCCCTTCTGCTAACCCTCCGCACCGAAGAAACCGCCAGGGCGCCTGCGTGCAGATGGCCTTGGCCGTAGAGTTCCGGGTAGTGGAGGGGCCTAGCGGAGGGCGAAACACGGGCTACTAAAACTCCCTACTGTGAAACCTGTACCGGAAAGTAGATTTCACGACAGATATTGCGAGGACGTGCCCTTTTCATGAATTTATGCACTGTAATAAATCTCTAAGTTCAAGAGCACCACTCGGATTCTTCTTTCAATAGTGCGACGTAAAGTTGCGCCAATCACGATTATTCTAAGCGGCCTACCAGACTGATAACCTTTCGATTCAGATAAAATTGAGGTAAACAAATGGACGTTGAGCCGTATAGACATGGCGTTTTGCATGCTAATCTAGATTTTCTTTCACTACTTCGTCGAAATTAAATAACGCAATTTACTATTTTTACGACCTGAAAATAACTGTGAATTATAGGAATGATAAAACGCTTTATAGTTACAGGCTTCAAGGTTGAAATAGTGCCTATTTATAAAACCACGCGGAAACTATATACTCCGTTTAGCGGTTCCAACCGTTACTTCTGATCTACAGAACTGAGCCGGTACGATACTGAAAGCCGTGAACCCGAACCCAAGCCGAACTGATAAGAGTTTCGGTTCGAAACTCTGGCTAGAACCATGGTGGAGCGCTAGACCCGTGCAGCAGGAACACGACTGTCCGTGCGATAATGCAGCGTACTAACTTGTTTTTGAGGGGGGGGGCAAACCAACCCCACCCCCCCCCCCCCCCCCCGGCGCCGCCGGCTAATGATTGACCTGCCCCGTGGCGGCTGTTGCAGGGGGCAAAATACATGGCTTGCCCCCACTCTAAAAAGTGTGTGTGGGGAGGAGGCAAGCGCCCCCCTTGTACCCCCCCCGTTTGGTACGCCCATGATGCACCCCGCTGTTTTTCCCTCGAATCCGCGATTCCTCACTGCCAGATTTGTGCCTGTTGCACGTCTGGTAGCTGTAGCGCACTACTCGACTTGCCACGACCCTAAAGATGTTTTTCTTAAAGTTACTGATAAAGCGGTTTTCAGTTACGTTGGGCAGGTTTCTGACCGGAACCACGGTTATTTTTATTTTTTTTACCCTGTTTGTAGGTTGGCGAAGCATAGCAGTTTGAGTGTACAGCGCGATGACGTTGTGTGAAATAGCCGGAGCTTTGCTATAGTCTCTGAAAACTCCATTCATTAACGCGAGGCGTGGCGAAGCTCAAACATTGTTTTATCGCTTCGGTACCACTGAGACTGCGTTCTCGATAAGTCGATAAGAAAAACAAAAAGAAGCGTGAAGATAAGAAGACATGCCCGACGTTTTTTTATCCGCCAGCGACTACAGCCGATTAACTATATGTTTACAGTTTCGCATGAGAGATGTCCATACTATTTTCTGGGTATTTATATAAATCAAAGTTTTAAAACCGGCCGACATGGGAATCTTAGCGAGAGAAGAGGTAGATAAACTGTCGTGGGGGGTGCCGTGGTAGCGCTCGCGGACACCATGAACGCAAGGTCCAGTTTGAATTGAACCCATCATCCAGTAGACGCTTCCTCTCATGCGCTCCTAAAACATCATTACGCTAGCATCATTCATTTAGGTTGGGTCACACGTCATATTTAAATTAACCCCCATCTTTGAAATACTAGTGGATACTATACTCCCCGACAACTTTTCTCGGCAATGCAGTGGAAGGTACAGGCCCGCGTCCCCTCTCCCATTTTGAGTGCACCCAGGCTTTCCTCCTCCCCCATTTCCGGGGAGAGGAGGAGAGCCCGCGCACACTCAAAATGGGAGAGGGGACGCGGGCCTGTACCTTTAACTGCATTGCCAAGAAAAGTTGTTGCGGAGTATAGAAATATTTTTATTTCGAGCGCCTTGTTTGTGGTTCCCAGCAGAAGCCCCTTCTGAATTGCTTGTCGTCAAACTGAAATTCTTCTCCTTAAAGAACCTGTCTCTTGGCGCAACGTTGTCAATCAATCTGAGGCATACAGGACGCAGGCAAATAGGGTGAGTTGGGCTAGTTGGTTCATTACGTGCATATAAACGCAAAAAAGGGAAATCGTGAAGAACGACAGCAATACAATGCTCTTAAATATACGTAATTAACCCTTGGATTGACGTCGTTTTCTCCCTTGTCTTTGTTTTTAACGCTTAAATTTAGGTAATAAACCAACCAGCCCAACACACTATTTTGTTGAAATTAATTTATTCTGTAAGAGCCTTGTATTGTCGTCGTTCCCCAACTTGTCCTTGTTTTTTTGATGCCTAAATGTATATCCAAGACAATTTAGATTTTTTTTTTACATTTGTTTTATGTTATATTTTACTACCTTCGTGTTTTGTTTGAAAACAACGAGTCAATCTTCAGTGTAATCAGGAATTCCACGCAAATTCTTTTGCTATTAAAAAGCGTCGATTTATTGCAGCTACTGTTTTACAGCTCAAATTTCGCGAATTTTTTGACGGCTTGTTAGTGGGTCGATGTATGGAGCGATGAAAGTGTCCACGTACGCCGACACCCTGGTAAACATGTGGGGTGCAAATCTTGATCCACACACCGAGGGGCCGGCACTGACGATTCCGTGAAGCGACCACTCGCCGTTCGCAAAGTGTACAACGGGGCTCCCACTGTCTCCCTAAAATAAAAAGACATCGGTTATTCTCACAACATGACATCGGGAAATCACAGGTCCCAAGCCGGAAGTTGGAACTTTAAAGCTTCGTTGAATGACTCGTAAGTTATTTTGGCAGCTTTAGAACCCTCAGCGTGCGGCTAAAGACAAGCGTAAGTCATCCTTATAAACCAAATCAAGAATAGCCTTCTCTAGGGCTGTGTTCCCAATCTTACCCAAATGAATCCGACTTACTCCTAGGGACCGTTCTCATGTGACAACGCAGATAGAAAAAAAAATAAAAGACGTTTACAATTCTCTTTGATGCCGAAATAGAGCGCAGCTCTTAAGGAGGAGGAGGGGAGGGTACGGGGGAGGGTATGCCCCTCCTCCCCCTCCATACCCCTTCCCCTCCTCCTTAACCCGCTAACTTAACCCGCTAAAGTTAACAGGGAAATTTTTCCGTTAAATTTAGCTAGGAAATTTTTAACCAAAATGTAGCGGAAAAATTTCCCGGTAACTTTAGCGAGCAAACGTCCCATAATGCAACGCGCAGTTGCGCCGGCGCCGACGCCGCTCAACCCGGAAACGGGCGCCTAAGAGCTGTGTTCTATAAAAGGCAACGACTATTTCGACGTCCACCGTCAAAATATCTCGAAAATTATTTCGACGTCGTGACGTTACTTCCGTAAAACGTCAAATAGCGGCTCCATTATTGTGACGTCCTCTCACTATGCCGCCATCGCAATGGTAGCCGTTTCGTGGTTTCTTCAGTTTCTACAGTTTCATTCTGTGTAGTTTCTGACGGTGTCGTCAGGCTCGGTATTGTTTAACATGTTGGCGGAGTCATACGTAGCGTGTCTAACAAGTTTCTGTCCTAGTTTGCAGTGAAAGAGTCTTATTCAGCACGTCTGTGTGACTTGCTCGACAGTTGATTTTTTTCGGATGTGACACGCCCGGCGGCGATGTTCTCAGCTCGCACATCATTTAGGCTCGCGTCTCACCTAACATATTTAACCTACAACAAGGCCGAGTTGGATATTCCTCTGTCTTGCCTCCATGTAAAAATTTTAATTGCGTACGCTGCGTAACGCTGCGAAATTTGGTGCACGTTTTGTGCCCCCATTTTGTGCGAGCGCGTCTTCGTATGGTTGCAGTCTCGCTTTGTTTCATGGCTCCCGCCCTGTTTTTGACCGGCTTCTTTCGTTCGTTGATGAGTTTAAATTTTTGTTTTGATTCGTGTGCAACGAGCGGGTTAGCTGCGAAACGATCAGGATGATGAATAAAAGGTTTTGAATGCGAAAATTGCCTCCTTGTTTCTTGACCGGGGCGAGCGAACAAAGGTTCTGGCGCGGTTGTACGAGATGCACGCATTTTCCAATCAACTGCAACATTTATGACAGAACAGTCAGCTCCTTTTTCTATAAAAAAAGGGGAAGTAAAATAAGAAAAGCAGCATTTCCGCATTCTCTAATGTTGCGCACAACCAAGCAAATGTTACGTGCGGCCTAATGGCTAATGTATAGTTTGATAACTTTTTTCTGCATTTTACGTTATTTAAAAGGTTATAAAAACTGCACTTGACTGCTCCTTTGTTCTCTGAAAATGCGTGCTCAAGCGCGACGCTGCCTACAATCAAGATGATGTTGGTTTGACCGCCACTTTCGACCACTTTCCAGTTCGATACGAACGCCGAAGTGGCCGATGCTTCAAAGTTTAAGTTTGAAATGTCAAAATAAGGAGTATTAAATATTTTGACGGGGGCCGTCTAAATAATTTTAAAAATAGTTTCACGTCTTCAGAAACTTATGCCGCAATCTGATTGCCTGCCGAACAATTATGAGACTCTCAGGACTTGTTACGTACTGCGTTTCGTAAGATGTCGGTGACTGTAAGAGCTTATAAGGCTACAATTTAGCGAATATGCGCGTGTCCTCGATCAAGTAGACAGACGCGCCACGCGTTGAGACTGAAATTTTCTAGGCCTTAAGCTACGATTCCATTTTGAAAGTTTGGCACACTGATTTGCAACGCGGAGCGCAAGTTTGTCTGCTTCTTGCACAGGGGTTGCGATAATGTCACAACGCCAAACCCTTATTGGTTGATTGAAAATATTGTGGGTAGACGTCAAGCTTGAGGTCTACTCTTTATCCTTTTGGTCAAAGCCAATCAGAGCTCGCCGTCGTTCTGACGTCACTGCAACTCCCGCACAAGAAGCAGACGACTTGTTCTTTGTTCCCATTAGTTCACCAACAGTGAGCTATCATTTGTGCTCTTCTCGTAATGGACTCCTTTTACCTGAGAGTAATTAGTATAAGAGACAAACACGGTGATCATATTGCGTTGCTTATGTATAGCGATGCATGAAGCCGCATGAGCGAATGCGTGAGAGCAGAAACGAAGTACACCACAAAGTAAAGGCGTTTGGTGCAAAAATGCCATACTTACACTACAGGCACTGCCGTATCCATGACCACCACAAAACAATTGAGGAATTATGCCGGGTCTTATTCGCCGACACTCTTGATGTGAAATTGCCGATACCATAGCCTGCTTCAATTCCCTTGCGGACCAGCCTCCTATAAAAAGTAATATACATAGATGTTTCAACTCTGGTCAAACATCACGTGGGAAATGCTGGCTCTCTTTTCGTCCCATTGAGTTTTTTTTTTTACTCCTCTACCTTACTGTTTTTACAAAATTCATTATAGACTAACTAGCTCAATAAAAGCCGGTAAGTGAATTTGTTCCCTTGGTTGAAGCAGGATAGTATCCAGTCGGTCAACTCGAAACAAAACACACTTAATTCGCTGAATGCCAATTTTGTTTTCGGAAATCAATCAGAGTTCAATGGGTGAGTGTATGTATATATGTAGAAGAACTATATTATTTTAGGTATAAAACTTAATCCCGTTCGCTAATAGTTTATTGCTAAAAAAAATTTATGACACTAGTCTCTATCATATAGTGAAATATATCCAGTTCAGTGTGCCTTTATCTCCCAAACAAAAACGTGATACAGATGCTGCGATCGGTGTAAGTAATAACACGTATGGACGCCATTTCCTAAAGTTATCCTTTTCTATCGGCAAACTCATTCTAGTTTCGAAAACGATGTTCTACTAATTTCAGCGATGAATGTTAAGGCCTATTCACACACTTGGGACTGCTGACGACCCAGTGAAATAAAACCCGTTGGGATCTCTCATAGCCAGGGAGCAGCCTTGCGCCATCGGTTGGTTAGACGCCGTAAAACACTAGACATTTGCGTGTATTTTACTATTTTTTGCGCATGATTGTTTCTTTCTTGGCTTGGAAACCTTTTCGAAAATGTTATAACGGTAATTTCTCAAATAAAGTGCGAAGATTTGACCTGCAAATACTACAAAAAAAAACTTCTCTCGAAAACAATTCCGTTCCAGGGACCCCTCATTGGTGGCGCCAGCGCGCCTGTATTTTATCGTTGCAAGAAATCACAAGATCTCGGTCGTAAACAAAGACAAGTGTGAAAAGTGTTAGAATCCCAGGCAACATCAGGCGGCAAGTCGCACTACTTAAAATACTTTGTTTCCTGTAACGGTTCACTTCACGTTCACGATGACACCTTCTATAAAATATATTTCAGGGTGCTTTACCGTCCCCGTTATTTATTTAATTCTCATCTAACACCGTAAATTTACCAGCACGTCATATTTCAACGAGGCTTCAGTAAATTGAAAAATGAGTGATAGCTCACCTCCTACTTCACCCCATCCTGTGACGTAGAGCTTGGATCCTGTCGGGAGGTGTTCCCCTTGGTTTGGAAGGCATACTGGCTGAATTGTTTTTGTCATGTTCACTTTCCGTGTGAGTTTTATGATTGCAATGTCCTGTATACCACCCTAAACAAAATAAAAAAGATATCTATTAATTCATACTTCAGAATTGCTCCTACACTCTCTCAGCGAATAAAATATCGTATTAGATTGATAACCTTTAAAATGATTATTCAGGTAATAAATAACGAAAGAAAATAGTATATTTAGTTCAGGGGCGGATCCAGATCTCCATTTTAGGGGGGCGGTTCCTCGGTGTAAAACGGCGGGGGGGGGGGGGGGGGTAGGGGAGTGTTTATATTTTTTGTTGAGTTATCGTTTTTACTAAACTCTGATAACATAATATTGATCTTGAGAGCTTTTGTATCGGTTTACCTGTCGTGGATGAACTCTTTGAATTAAAACCTTTCGGGTGACCACGCTAGAGGTATCTGGAAAATTGTGGTGGCACTATCCTTCCTGAAACTTGGGTTTCAGACCGACACTACGTGAGCAGTCGATCTAGGGCAGCTTAAAGACATTGCCTTGGCAGACATTCTGGTTGGAGCTAGTGCTCAACTGCTGCTGCAACGGGAAGAGCGGCTTAAATCAATGGAGCAAGTACGTTGCAAACAAGCGACAAAAATGGCCCGGCGGCTTCGACGCTGCTCGCGGCGTCAAAACACTGTTGACGCAGCGAGCGAAACGAACGCTGCCAGGCAAGTTCGTCGGTTGTTCGCCGTATATTTGAAATGTCCAGAGCGCAGCACATGCGGCATTGCCAACCCAAACTCGTGTTTTCACGTGTTCTGGGTGCAACTCGAGAGAACCAAAGCGAATAATGATTGAATATTTTTGAAAGCATGTTGCAGTTCGGCAACTATAACTTTTAAACTTGGACAAGACCTTAAATTAGCAATGGATCCTTCCAAATTATATTCAATTGCACTTCGTCTGGATATTTTCTGTATGAAAGGAACACTTGTTTCTGGGTAGTTAGCTCATTCATCAGGGTCGAGAGGACAGGTGCAGAGATATGATGGGGCAGAACGGTTGTCCGGTCGGCGAATCTCAACTGGACTAAAGGCCGATCACGACTGCAGCATGAATGTTTGGGAGTCAGTGTTCACTCGAACGGGCACAGGCACTGTCTATTTAATTTATGTATAGTGGCATCTTTGAAAGGGCTCGTTTTCCCCAAGTCCCTAGGTAGGGAATTCGATGCCGCAGTTGGAAACCAGCAAGCCCCGCCTCTGTTCCGTTCGATACACACATATTCGCTCCTCCAAAGCCGCGCGAAAGCTCTGCCGTCAATCCACAAAAGCCGCGTTTAACTCGAAAAGCAAAGACGGCGCCAAGGGGAGACAAGGAGTAGTGGGCGCCTTTCCTAAAATATTTCCCGCCACCCTAAGTTGAAACGGAATTGTATACAAATAAATGCCTACGGCGTCGGCTTGAGGACCCCGTGTAAGCAGCCTCCAGCCTTTAGAGTGCTCCTACCGTTTATCTTTCTTTTATTAGCTTCCCGCCATGAGAAGTCGTACCGCAGGCAGTATGAAGCCCATTAGAGGAATCATCTCCCCCTTCTGGCGCTCGTCGGCTTCTTTCTGTATTCCGCGCTGCGGCGCTGATCCTCAGTGAGGGATGGAGGCGAGGACGAAAGCGGGCTTATGTTTAAGCCAAGGTCGTGGGGAAGTCCGGAGCGTCTTCAGGAGAAGCTCAGACCCCGACTACACTGTACCCACAGCATTTGCTTCCTCTCTCAGTTGAGAAGAAAAGCAATTGGTCACCTGGTTGTACAAGCTGCATTCTGCGTCGATTGCTTACGTTTTTTCTTCCAGTGACAAGAACCCCTGGGGGGGGGGGGGGGGGGGGGGGGGGGGGGGGGGGGGGCTTGGCGAGATGTTTGGGGGGGGGGGGGGCGATCGCCCCCACCGCCCCCCCCTTGGATCCGCCACTGATTTAGTTTGAATACACCAGTTCTTCCGAAAAAATTTTTTTTATATTGAGCTTCCCTATTTATTGCCAGTTTATTCAAAAGATCGCACGTTCCGGCTTTTCGGAATTAACTTCTGGTAGACAAAGTGGTGATGGGAGTTAGAGAATCCAGTGACACTGTAGTGTCAGTCAGATGCGAAATGCAGGAAAGCATGATACACTGCCCAGGGATCTGTCTGCTCTTTACCCAAACATTTCCTAACATATGTCCAGCGAGCAGTTGACTGTTGTTTACGGTAATGTTAAAAAATCCCAGGGGCAATTTTATAGGGTACGCTATTTTACAACACCCTTAATCCATGTCACTGTTAAGGCTGGTTCGAACCCTTGCGTTTGATTACGACAGACTCCGCTATAACCGGATTATAAGCTTCCTGTGTCTGGATACGGCCACCTGCGCAGCAGCGCGGCCGGTCCTAAACCGTCAGAAAAGGTTTAAAACCGGTTTTTAAGCCCCTCCGATTACAAGCCGTCGCAAGTCTTTGGGTCAGCCTTCATATTACAATTAAAATGTTTCTTTTATGGGAAGAGTTATGTTTGTGGGGATATCGTGCATTCGATGTTACCCAGCGTATGCGCACGTCCCCATCTGAGCTTTACCATTACGAATCATTGCCGACGACAGAGAAGCACCGGAAGCATATCAGCGCGTGACAGATGGTTCAAGAAATGACTCCCTTAATCTATAAAAAAATTTCAACGAAGACAAATCTCATAGTCCAAATTATCACCTTCTTTTATAATATTCAATAACATGAAGATAGGGCAGAACATTTTATCTATACTTTATTAATAATAATAATAATAATAATAATAATAATAAATAAACGCTTCACTTTAATTTACCATTAGAGTAATGATGGGGCCCAGAGTAAAAGCCACGATAGACGGCTTGACAAGATTTGAGTAAATACAGAGTCACGTTTATTTATAATGAACGCCGTAATGTTCTTGTGCTCATATTCCAAACTAAGATTCAAAAACCAAAGCACGTTTTTCTTGGAGCATCTCAAACTGGCTTATATCATAATGTCAGTACAAATTCACCATATGGCGCCAAGCGACTGTCTCGAACAACGCGAAGGCGAATATTTGCAAAATAGAATTATCTACATACAAACTCGTTTGATAAACAAATAAAATTTTAAGAATAAGCATAAACTGCCACACAGTGAGCCCAAACACGACACAGAAACATAAAAAAGCGGTGTTTTTTTGTTTGCATTTACAGTGCCGCTTTATGTGCAACTCCCGTTTTGGAAAGCTTACATTTGCGACATCCGACAAAACAATGATAAGGACAGCTTCAACTTTAGAGACGAAAACGTGAAAGGTTTTTCGACAACAGTGATGGGCAGCGCGTCTAGTGTGCTGACCTCGACAGTGACGCTATGCATTAATTACTACATCTTATTTTTTTTTAATTAAAAGCAGCTTTGCCTTTAACTGAAGGCAGTCTGCATAAATATGGTCCGGAAGCTTCAGTCAGAAATAAAAGTAGCAATTCCCTGCCGCGTCCTGCCAATAAACTGCGGTGATATCGAGGGTCTGCACGCCCTGCTACGCTTTGCTATAAACATCTTCATTGCTGTGTTTACATTTAGTTGAATTACGTGTCACTAAGTGTAGCTGACGATGTGGATGCCACGCTATGACCTCACGTAACAAAGTAACGTCCAAGTGTGGCGTGACGTCCCGATGTAATTTCAGGTTAGTGGAATAAGTTTCCCGCTAAATCTAGAGGAAGATTTTGTGACGTCAAAATCTCAGTGTCACGAGACGCTGCGATTTCCCGCTAGATTTAGTGCGTACCTTTCCCCCTAAATACAGACGAAAATATATACACAAAGACACACCCCGGCATCTGTAAGCGACACCTCGCATATCACGGCTGTCGCATGAAAGAAAAAATAATTACAAGGATTTGACTACTTGCTTTTCGCTACGGGTGTCCCTCTCCGGCTTTTGTGTGTGCCGCGTCCAAAAAAGTAGTCCCTAGATTTCCGCCTGATGACGTCATACAAGTGTCGTGCTGTCGCCGGTCGCGATCCTGGCGGTGTCCCAGCTGCGGTGGGCTACGTAACAGACGCCTGTTGCTCTGCATGTTGCTCTGCCGCTGTACAGTCCAGTAAAGCTTCGGCAGCCATGAGTTGCGACGCCGCGAGGACAGCGCCACTCGCGTTCGCTCGTGCTTTTCGCCAGGATTTATACGTCCAACCGCCAGAGGCGTGACGTCCGAAAGCATGACGCTCCAGTTTCTGTGACGTCATTTGTTGCCACCTTGGGACCACTTTTGATGAATGGACAGAATAAGGCACTAAACACACCCGTCGGAGGCTAAATCCGGGAACTACACTTCTGCAAAACACACGCGGCATCAAAAGAGAGCGGTACGATATGCGGTTTTCTTGGAAGTAAAAAACATAGCGAATATTTTTTTTTTCTCGAGTAACGGGCGCCGTCCGGAGAGACGTCTGCCAACTAAAAATTATGTGCAGCCCATCCTGGCTCCGCCCGTCAAAACAACTTGACATTGTGCCGTTGTACCGGTTTTATTGCTTTTTATGCCCATGCTACCAAAACGTTTAAAAGATATTTAGAAAAAAAGACAATATGCGCTCAAAGATTGGGGCTGAACATGTTGGTCGTGCGGGACGGTGCCCTTCGAAAATGACGACAGCGCCATTCAAATCCAGGGGAGAAAGTCTATGCATAAGCAAGACAATAAAAAAAAAAAAAAAATCAATTTTTTTTTTTTTTTTTTTTTGAGGGGTGGGTATGTTTTACGTGTTACTTTACTTAATCGTCAACATGAACGAAACCCGTGAAGTGACATCATAGCACCAGGCCCAATAGATCTCACTGGCGCAATGACTTACCGGCCATGTGGTCCGATACGAGGCAGGGTGGATGCAGATTTCTTCGACGGCCGCGCGTACTTCCCATTCCCTCGACTGCGTGGTCTCATGGGAGCCGAGATAGACGCTGAAGCGCGAAGGGCGGAGATTCCTGGACGGACAATGAAAAATAAACCCAGGTAGCACGCCAAAAAAAAAGTTTAACTTGGCACAAGCTTGTCAGTTTTAACGGTCTAACTTGGGCCTATATTGGTTTTGCTCCAAAGCGTTAGTCAGCACCAGGTTACAGTCGCGGACAATATAAAAAAACTCAGGTGAGCAAGTGGCTTCGACTGTCAGCGGCGCTACCTATCCGAGGAAATCACAACCTTTATCGAGGCCTCAGTGGCTGTCTACGTTTTGTATTCACTCCGTCGCTTTACCGGCTGTCGCTGAGTTAATAGGGAGTTTTCCCTATTAACCACCGTCCCGCAACGCTCTCCAGAACCCTCTAAGATTACAGGAACTCTACAGCCAAGGCCATCGGCGCGCAGACGCAATAGCGGCTTCTTCATTGCGGAGGGCTTAGCGGAGAGGGGAATGCGGTTTACGAAAACTCCCTAATAGGGTGTTTTCGTGGACTACATTTCCCCCTCCATTAAAGACTAAACCCTACGTAACGAAGAAGCCGCTACTCCGCCCTTGTGCCGATGGGCTTGACTGTAGAGTTCCGGGTATTGTAGCGCGTTGCGGAGAGCGTTCCGGGACGGGGAAAGTGATCTACGAAAACTCCCTAATGCTGATTTCAGCGTCCATTCTAGAAGCATTTCGCGGCAAAAGGCGAAATTAAGTGTGGCTGAGTCCACCACGTTGACAAGTTTAGCCATCAGTTTTTGAGCGATTGGTAATATGTTCGCGGTATTAAACAGACGAAGCCGTCGTCTTTTTTTTTTTTTAGTTTTTCACCAAGCAAGCAAACATAATTCTTCAAAGCGGTCGAAATCAGCTTTGACTCAGCCATTGCTGGCCGACCAAATGGGGAGTAACGAAAAAGGTAGAAGAGCCTCTGAAATGTCGCTGGGGCACAGAATTGCCGGGATGACAACCCAGACTCTTGCCGAAAAAGGTCAAATTAGGCTTCACCTTGGCTTCTTCGGGCTTTTTAAGGTCCGAAATCTCCATGCAGAAACCAAATGTTGGTCTGAAGAACTTTTCTACTTGGTAAGTTATTTACACAATGTTCTTCCAGTGTAAGCTTTTGTCTTTGCGGTATTGATGTGGAACCTAAGCGAGGCATTTTCATCTAGATTTTGTCAAATTAAGTAAAAAAAAGGCCGGCGAGCTATTCTGTCTGGAATGGGTTTTATGGCGGTTTTGTGACCTGCTCGAACAGAAACCATTTTCGGAATAGCCAGGGCTTACTATTCACGGCATGCTCTGTATTATCCCTTAATTCAAAACTGCTGACAAACCGGCAAATGACGGCTGTTCCTAAACTGGCGTTAAATTTTTTCCGCTGTCTCCAATTGGGGTGGCGTCACACGTTGTATACGTTCCAAGTCGAGCACGCAGTATAAAAAGCGCGATATTTAAAGCGATTTTTATCTTCGTTTCGCTAGCGTGAGTCTTTCAAGTTTTTCAAGGTTATATTCACACCATCAGACTTTTTGTAAGCCGTCGGAAACAAGCTGTACTGACTTTCTATTACAACATTTGACGTCGCGCTTCCAGTGTTGCCAGTAGGCCCGCTCAGCGTCTCAAAAAAAAAAGTAAATATAATACCTTAACAAGAGAAAAAAAAGTACTGTGACTTGTCCTTTGAGTTGTTAATTCCGATGTGCGCATTGATGTGTTGCCCTCATTTCAAAGCAAATCAGTGGCAATCACATTTTAACGTGAAAGTATTAACTGTTCCATGGAGCGAAGCCGGCTTTGGGTCTATAACCGTCTATAGCAGCAAAGCGGCAGTAAAATTCCCATTAACTAAAAGCACATCCAGGCAGATGCTTCGTCACGGAAGCCGGTGGGGAGCTCAAAGTCAAAGCGGACGCGCCTCAGAAATAACATACAAAGAAAAGCACTCCAACGCAGATGCATCGTCACGGAAGCCGGTGGGGAGCTCAAAGTCAAAGCGGATGCGCCTCAGAAATAAAATACAAAGAAAAGCACTCCAACGCAGATGCATCGTCACGGAAGCCGCAGAGCAGGCGCGCTTCTCCGCGCCTGTGCGGTGTACGGTTGGAAAAAGGAAGGCATGGGACGCTGCCTGTAGGAATGCGCTACGTGTAGGAATGCTTTCGAATTTCCACACGTACGCAGTCTTAAGAGTCCTTAGTGTACGCTATACTTCTTTTTCTGATATCCTTTCAGCATACGGCGTGTTTCACCAACGACTAAAAAATAGAAATTGCACTAAAAATTAAAAAAAAATGCTTCCCCCACGGTAAAATCATCGAAAACGGAGGATGTCAGGCAGAAAAGGCAAAAAAGTAAACTGAAAACTCACATTTCTCCATGGTATTCGCTAAAGAAAATATGATCGCCGATCTATCGGTAGAAGCAAATCTTAGCCGCCCACCCGTACATTTCAAAGCACGAACGTTGGTGCGACATTCAACGCAAGTATCAGCAAGAAGATGTTGAGGATGTAGGCCCCAACATCTCTTGAATAGCAAGGCCGATGCGTTGTATCTGCTACGGCACTAACAAGCGGCTAGAGCGGGCAACATATTGGACAAGAGTTGAAGGTCAGCGTTCGGCAGGGATTCCTGAACTCACTGCCCCAGCGCGAATCCCTGCCGAACGCTGACCTTCAACTCTTGTCCAATATGTTGCCCGCTCTGGCCGCTTGTTAGTGCCGTTAAAGGTTAAAAGTTAAAGGTGTTGGGCGGCATTCTAACCCACGACCCTTTGGGGTTTCGAGCCAGACACGCTACTTGCAAGGCCACACAACGCACAGTTGCTCGGCGAATGAGAAGGCGATGCAAACGGGCCCCATTAACGCTATCGCGTTCCACTCTTTTTTTTTTTTTATTCTCTTGTATTTCTGTGAGACAAAAAACCAGACAGCACTTCCCAATCACCCCCTATCACGCAGATTTATTTTCGTTTCGGCAATGTTTAAAGACACGCCACAATCGCATTCCATCATCATCATTGCTTTAGTTATGTTGCGAAATCTTGCATATTTATTCACCTTTCAGTGAGAGAATTGGGAATCTAGCAAACACGCAAGTGTGGGCATCTAACATAGCGCTCCTTTGGAAACGTGACTACTCCGGTTGTAACCGTCCAAAGCGCATAACTAGAGGAATACTGACCCTTTGTCGCTATAGCCTATTGCCCTGTGGGGCAATCAAAAGCTTAGTGCCCGCCGAAAATACGCTTCAGAGGGCCCTACAGCACTCTTTGTAAATATGATTACCCTGATTATTTGTTTTGTAATTTAGATTAGTGTCCAGGTATTTTAGTCTGTTTTTTGCTGAGAGATTAATAACTAAAATGAAAAACAGCGAAAATTTTTCGTCGCTGATATGCCCCAAACTTTGTACAACAGGCAAAGTTTTATTTATAATTACTAGCCGAGGTTGTTGTTTTTTTTTTTCGGTCAAGCTGTACCATTTTCAACTTTAATTCTCCCCAGCGTTCTTGAACTCTAATGTTTGCGTTTCAAAATATTGGGATTTATAACAGAAACGTGATTGTTACTACGTGTAAATGGAAGCAGTAATACGTGTTGCAATTTTTTAACATCAGAAATATTACGCACAAGAGCACTTCAGTGCTATACATTTAATTTATTTAAAAATATTTTCTGGGAATTTTGATTAGCGCCTCCGATTATCGATGTTTGAAAAATGGCTACTGCAATGACACAGTCCTCTCATACAGATGCCGATCTTGCCCCCGTTCAGCTTAAAAACAACAAAAACAGAGGATTACCTAACTAACACACTTTTAGTCGCACAACATAAACTGGTTAATATAAAGTTAAATACAATTTAACGGGATACGCTGGATTACTTTTATATCCCAATCGCTGTCTGACATTAACATTTACTTGGCGACAGTTATGCAATTTTAACGTGCTCCCTAAAGAACAGTCTGAATACAGTACACTCAAAAAATTATTTTCAAGCTCCACAGAATAATTCATGTGATAACCTAACTTTCAGACACAAAAAAAAAAGTAAAAATTTCTTTTTAAAATTTTTTTTTGCGAGATATGGCATCTTTCCTTTCATACTATTGACTCTTATTTCCTACGCGCTAAAAAAAATATTCGATAAAGTTTCAGCTGTGGGAGGACAACTTCTAATACTTAGATATATTGTAGAAAACATACATTAATTCAGCCATATTTCCTACTATAGTCAACATTGTCCAATTCAGTTTTGGTGACTGTCTCTGCTAACATGTTTACGTTTCATACACTAAAAAAAAATGTTTTACGGTACTCAAAAACATGTTAGCGCTTGAAGCGAAAACATAGTAGCAGTCTGGACAACAAGTGACAAAGCCTGCTCCAGATAAAAATAGCTGGTGCAGGCTGTTTCAGCTTTACCTACATTGACCTTATTTGAAAGAAGGTAGCGTTCTTGCGAGCGGCGGAGAGGCCTGGGGTCGGCAGTAAATATATTTCACAATTTATGACGATTAGACCGTTGAAGTAAGCGCATGTGTTGTCCAGTCTTATACTTTGACCACGTCTCAAGCGCTAACATTTTTTGAATATCCTGTACCAACTCACCCTAGAAGTTGCACTGATCAGTTTTACGTTATGCACTTCAAAAACAAAGGGACGAAAATGAAAGTAACAGCGTGTTTTCCACCCTGCTACTGACGCTTCACCACGCGGTCTCAAAAAGAAGGGAGGAACCAGACACTTTCCGTCATCTCCAGGCAGACGGGAGAAAACTTCGGCCCTCGCGCCCCATTCTCTTTCGATTTCTTCTGTCGGGCACTTCACGCCCTCGCGTTGATTAAACGCTGTTGAGTTGATTGAGCGCCAGCGCCACCGAAGTTCAACTGGAATTCAATCTTCCAATCCAAGCACGTAGACCACCTCGGTCGCGTTAAGTCTTCACTACTAATTTTGTGAAACGAAGAAACGAAGCCGTTAGAAGCCGCAACTGCGTTAACATGACCTGCGCGCGTCGCGCGCATGGTTTTGGTTGTTTCGATTTTAT